GTCACCCATTGGTTTCGTCCTTATTTTTTAAAAGTTATTTTTTTTAGAAATGCAGGCCTTCCTATTGCAAGTTTGACCAATATTCCTGTTTTGTTTCAGGAATCGTATTCCTGTCTGGTGGCCAATCTGAGGCTGAGGCGACCAAGAATCTACAGGCAATTAACAGCTACCCTGGGAAAAAGCCATGGGTCCTTAGCTTCAGTTTCGGTCGTGCCCTACAGGCCTCTGCAATTAAAGCATGGGCTGGCAAGTCTGAAAACACCAAGGCTGCTCAAAGCGAATTTCTAAAACTTGCCCAAGTAAGTAATTTTTCCGTTGTAGGTTGATATGGAGTACGTAAAAAACCTCGTCATTCCGTTTAAGCAGTAAAGTTATTTTCTGATTCCACTTACATGATGCTTTCTCTTTTGCAGGCAAATGGACTAGCTGCTATGGGCAAATTCGGAGGCGACCTAAAAACAGCGGCTGGTGACAAGTCTCTTTTCGTCGCCAACCATGCATACTAATGTTATTCGCTGCCATCTAGCTGTCAGCCATATGCGCCGCGTAGATGTGTTCAGTACCATTGTACTCAAAATTATTTTCGACCGTCCCTTCCTTCATCTCATCTGACCGCTTCACTTGTCTTGGTCTTGTCTTCTTTTCTGCCATGACCTTATCAATAAGTACGACTGTTATTTACTGAGACAATCGAATAAAGGAGCATCCATGCTTTCAGCTTTTCATCGCGTCTATTATTTCCTTTGGTGTGGGTGTGCCTACATAACTTAAGGCTTAAGTGTTATTCTTAGGGGCAAGAGGGGTGTATTCGTTTGTAGCTTCACCGACTGACTAGTTATATCGGCGGGGTAGTACTTCTCGTCTATGTTCAGATGGAGGTTGTGGCAGCTTTATAGTGCGTGTTGTCATAAAACAAGTCTTGTCGTGCTCATGGCTTTTAGGATGCCGGAAGAGTGGGTGCTTTGATTTCTTGCGAGGTAATTTATTCGTTATCTGTGTTGCGATCGAAGTCGGGTGTCCCGCTGTCATATCTACGGTCAGTTTTTCGAACTATATTTCTATGAATTTTCAAGCAGCTTTCTCGTTTCCGGGCCAACATAATCATTGCAATTATAGAATATTATTTTAGAGTGCCTTTGTACTCCTTATAATCAATACTCACATTTTACATTCCCTTAGAGCACCCCAGTGCGTACGTTTAGTTGTTATAAAATGCATATCCAAAGGGAAACGCGTTAATATAAGTATCCTGTAGGTTTTCGGCAGATCAATCTACATATAACTTTTAGCATCATTATTTTTGTTTTAATAGTCCATGTGACAGAGTCCATTTAAGGAGGACTTCACCGCTGGAATCCAGTCGCTCTCGTTTGCTTGTCTTGGTTGGTGATCTGAAGGTAGGAGTTTGTTCTATATCTCTATGTTTATTTTTTATGGTTTAAACATTGACGTCGAACAACCTCTTATCACAGCAGTCTTATAGTTGATGTCAAAGAGAGTATCGCATTCCATAGTTATCTTTGCTGTTATTTCGGAAAACCTAGGGAAAATTTTCATAGAACAGAATTGTCTTATTGTTTCGTCGATCTTTTGCGTCTTTAAGTTTGCCTAGTTTTTTCTGCGTAATCCTTTACAAGGAACTGCAATATATGCACCAGTTAACTTTATCATTATCATTGTGCAAAAAATATTTTCTGTGACCATTCAAATGTGACTCTTTTGTTCTCGTGGTTTTCAGTCCTCCTAAAAGTTCTATTAAAATAAATTTTGGAAATGGCTCGCTTCGTACCTTATCTCAGTCCTGAAAAATTGAAGGAGTTGCGTGAAACTGCCAACGCCATTGTCGCTCCTGGCAAGGGTATTTTGGCTGCTGATGAGAGCACTGGTATGTCTATTTGGTCCGTTTCAAACCTTGTTAGGCACTATCGGCAAGCGCTTCGCTTCTATTGGTCTCGAGAACACCGAAGAAAATCGTCGGGTGTACCGGGAACTTCTTTTCACCACCGACCCCGAATTTGCCAAAAACATTTCTGGCGTTATTCTCTTCCACGAGACTGTCTACCAGAAAACTAAGGACGGAAAGCCATTTGTTCAACTCCTGAAGGAGAGGGGAGTGATCCCTGGCATTAAAGTAGACAAGGGCGTTGTTCCTCTTGGTGGCACCTATAACGAATGCACAACTCAGGGTCTGGACGGTCTGGCAGAACGTTGCGCCCAATACTACAAGGATGGTTGCCGATTTGCCAAATGGAGATGCGTCCTCAAGATTTCTTCGCACACTCCATCATATCTAGCTATGCTAGAGAATGCCAATGTTCTCGCACGATATGCTTCTATTTGCCAGCAGGTGAGATCCTGTCCTTTAATCTCTTTCAGATAATGATATTCATTCGATAACCTGAAGCGCATTCAATTATATTTCTTCCCATAACAGAATGGTCTGGTTCCGATTGTTGAGCCTGAGGTTCTTTGTGATGGTGATCACGATTTGGAAACATGTCAGCGCGTCACCGAGGATGTCCTTCATTTTGTATACAAGGCTCTCGCAGACCACCATGTCTACCTGGAGGGTACTCTTCTAAAGCCAAACATGGTGACCGCGGGTCAGAGTTGTCCCAACAAGTCCTCAAACCAGGAAAATGCTCGCGCCACAGTTGAGGCTCTTCAGCGCAGCGTTCCTGCTTCGGTTCCTGGTAATCAATACTGGTGACGTTAAATTAATGATTGTGATTTCTCTTAAATTTTATGACTTTTTCTACATATCGTAAAAAATTCTCTAGTTTTCTTTTGCTGTCCTACCCGCACCATTTCAAGCATCTTTGTACGTACTGTGTCACCCAT